TTAATCAAAAGAATACACATGAATTGTACGCAAATTTTAACTTATCATACTAATTTCAGAACAATGCAAATAACTATAAAGAAAAAACAAAAATTGACAATTTATTATGGACTTGAAGGTACCAAGCTTATGATTTTGCCATATTAGCAAAAAGGTTGAAACATTGTTACAAATATTGACACAAGAATGTAAAATGTATGAGACGGGTGATTTAAGATGAAAATGGTAGAAACTGGATTCACTTCAGTAGTTAAAGCACTTTATATACCAAAGTGAGATGATCCATTAAGATTTATTGTACGATAAATATAAATATACGTATATATGTATACTAATCAACTAAAGTTCTCATTAAATTAATAAATAATTCTTTTACAGGGAGTCGTGTTTTATGGACCATAAGAATTTCTTTATAACAAATGAAACAAGAGTTAAATTTTCACAAAAATAAATTCTACAATTACTGAAGCTGAAATGTTAATTAACAACTTTAAGTTATCGTCACCACAACTTTAAGTTATTAGTATCACAAAAAGTAAATAAGAACTTTATGGCATAGTTATTGTAAATTAATATTTTGCAAAGTAAAATTGTTGATAATTTTTTTCACTAGTTCTACTGAAAATTGATTTAATTTTCCTGGGATGCAACTTCTTGGAAATTTTATTGCCATCTTAGCTCCAAATAATCCAGCAACATTTTGTAGTGCATTTGCTTATCTATTGTCAGGTGTGTATGTGTAAAAAAAGGTCTCTAGAAATACTTTACTTTAAAATAATAATACTCTAAGGATGTAAATAAATTCCTAGAATACTGGTAAAGCTTACATGCAAATACTGTTGAAACAAAAGTGGCGGCATGGCCGAGTGGTTAACATGTCAGATTAGTAATCGAATGATTGCTTGCAACTAAGGCTCCCACGTTTACAATTTTCTGTACACGATTGTTAAGAACCGAAACGATGCCGTTTAAATGGTGGTACTTCTATGTACTATACTACACCATGTATTCAAGTTGCCAATTGCTGTCTTACTTTCTATTTTAACCCTTTCGCTGCCAGAGGGTTATTGTTTTATTGATCACCTATTTGCCAGAGGGTTTTCTAAGAAATTACTATATTATTAAGTAATACAATTATTATTATTTGTTATTAGTATTATAATAATTATATATGTTTCCAAATCTGTTAGTATAATAATAATTATTGTCCATGGTATAATTTTCTTTATATTTATTATTATTATTATTAATTTATTATTATTACTATTATTATTATAGAAACGGCTAAAGCCGTCCATATGGCAAATACGCCGAAAATAACAGGGACTGCATAAGCCGTCCTTATGGCAGTGAAAGGGTTAATATATGTATAAATAAATAATGTTTAAGGCTCATCACAATTGAGTAGGCACATATTTTCTGCAATGTATCCCCATTTCGCTCTTTTGAAAGATCAAAGGAAAACCTACTTTCCAAAAAAATGTATTATGTCACGAGCAATTAGTGCACGGTAATGCTGTGTGAAGGGTTGTAAACACCCATTTTCCGTTTTTTACTTTGGAATAAATTAATTAGAACTGATAGAATTCATGATTACAGGCAATGATTAAGATATTTTGTAAGACAATATGGTCATTTCGATTAAACGGTAAAAAATATCGTAAACGTTTATGAATGAAAATCGAAACGAATCCCTTTAAACGTGTAACTGAGGGGGCCTTACTTGCAACATGGGTTAAAACCCTGTCAGGGGCAAGCTATTGTTTCCTTGAGCAAGAAACTTTACACTCATTGCTCAGTACTGGTTGGTTCCAGGAGGAATGGATTCGAAAGTGTCAACTAGCTTGATTAAAGCTTCCTACAAAATCAAACTAAAATGAATTCTGTATAAACCAAAAACAGAAACAAGTTTGTCTATAGTGCTGAAAATCATAGGGTGTTGATTTATTCAGCTCTTTCAAATTCAAGGTAACTGTGACCCTTTATTTGCTATTGCCAAAAAACAATATATGTATACATGTGACTTCTGAATATAGGCAACAACCTGTACTTTAAAGGCAAACAGTAAAACAGTTCTAAAATCATTGAGCAAGAAATGCTTCCAAAATTCAAGGTGACTTGTGACTTACAGGAATAATGCCTTAAATAGTAACTACAATCCAACAAGGGCAACCATCCCAGGAAATGTGATTTCTGTTAATTTTTAAAAAAGAAAAGATGTATTCCACCTTTGGACAGGAGTATAGTTAATAAAAAAAAACAATCAAGCAAGATTTTCCAATTTGTTTGATAGATTATTCTATGGACAAATATAGAATTAAATTATCCCTATACAACACAGGTAATTTCTATAATCAAGTGTTGAATGATTTCCAGCAAGTATTGATGAAAAAAAAAAGGTAATTGAAAACAATAACTCTTGGTCATCATATATTGACAGATTCAAGGCCAGATAAGAGATAATTTTGATAGGCAAGATTAAGTCAGATTTGAACTTCTTTCAATAGGCCAATTAGCAAATGGTCAGAGTAAAACTAATTTTGTTAGGCCACACAAGAACTACTTTCAATAGGCCATATAAGAACTTTTTTCATTAGACCAGATTAGGACTACTTTCAATAGGCCGCATAAAAACTTCAACTATTTTCAATAGACCAGATTAGGACTACTTTCAATAGGCCACATAAGAACTATTTTCAATAGGCCAGAGTAAAACTACAATCAATAGGCCATATTAGAACTATTTTCAATAGGCCAGATTAAAACTACTATTAGTAGGCCACATAAGAACTATTTTCAATAGGCCAGAGTAAAACTACTATCAATAGGCCATATTAGAACTACTTTCAATAGGCCAGAGTAAAACTACTATCAATAGGCCATATTAGAACTATTTTCAATAGGCCAGATTAAAACTACTATTAGTAGGCCACATAAGAACTATTTTCAATAGGCCAGAGTAAAACTACTATCAATAGGCCATATTAGAACTACTTTCAATAGGCCAGAGTAAAACTACTATCAATAGGCCATATTAGAACTATTTTCAATAGGCCAGAGTAAAACTACTATCAATAGGCCATATTAGAACTACTTTCAATAGGCCAGATTAAAACTACTATTAGTAGGCCACATTAGAACTACTTTCAGTAGGCCAGAGTAAAACTACTATCAGTAGGCCACATTAGAACTACTTTCAGTAGGCCAGAGTAAAACCACTATCAGTAGGCCACATTAAACTACTTTCAATAGGCCAGAGTAAAACTACTATTAGTAGGCCACATTAGAACTACTTTCGATTGGCTAGATTAAAACTACTTTCAATAGGCCACATTAGAACTACTTTCAATCAACCATATAATGTAATCACATTTCCTTTCATAACAATTATATCAATTTAGATAAGAACTTTCTTTTCATATTTTAAGGCAATTATTTCTATCAACAGACTAAACACCAGTGAACAATAATGTTCTACACAATATACATCAATAAACATAATCTCATGAAGGTAAAATATTGGAAATCTCATTTATTGCTGTGCTACACAATATGAAGCAAATATAGGATTTCACTTATCAGACTGGAAAACTGATAAACTAGGCTGAAAATACTAAAATCTTCTATTTTCTACAAGACCCATTTATTAATATTAAGCCCCCAAAATAATATTATTCCCATTTCTAAAATTCAAACTTATCTTAACCATCTTTTCCTTATTCTGCATTCTGGATTTTAGTACAGTTATAATTTTGTATGCAAGTAGGAATATCACTTTACTACTTTAATGACAAATTATTTTGTATTCAACACCAGTTTTTTTTTTCAGTGGCTATTCATCAAGCATGCCCTGAATTCATTATTAAAATTGTATAAAACATATTATTGCATTTCTAAAGAAAAGTTTTTATCCCTGATGGTTAAAGGCCCATTATCCCTAGAAATGCTTTTATTTATTGTTTTTTTTTCAAAAGGTTTTTAATTTTTGTGTTCTGTTATAGTTTCAAAACAAAATAATTTGTATCATTTTTGCTTATTTAGCTTTTTAACAATCTGTACAATTATAGTGGTTTAGTATTTAGTATGGAAGTTGAAATACTACTTTGTTTACAACTTGATATTTTGTGACAAATAATTTCACATTTATGGCTCTTTTTTTTGGGTGATAAGCGTATAACATGCATTAAAACCAATATTTAAGTGCTGAATAACTCGTGTGTCCTTTTTATAAAGAAAGAAAAAATGAGCCGCGTCACGACAAAACCAACAGAGTGCGTTTGCGACCAGCATGGATCCAGACCAGCCTGCTTATCCGCACAGTCTGATCAGGATCCATGCTGTTCGCTTACCAAGTCTATTACAAGTAGAAAAACTGATAGCGAACAGCATGGATCCTGATCAGACTGCGCAGGCTTGTCTGATTCTATGCTGGTCGCAAACGCACTATGTTGGTTTTGTCATGACGTGGCTCAAATATCCGTATCTGAGGCATAATGTGCCTTTTATGTGCCCATAAATTGAAAACAACACTCAATTTCAGTTGTTTCATTTATCTGATTATTTTGTTCCAGCACTTTTCCTTTTATAATGCATATAGAGGATATTGAATGAGTGTAAGTTAAAAACTGAATTTATAGAACAAGTTGAATAAAATTATATTATGCGAGCCTCTGGTGAGCATGGTATTATTTTATTCAATGAGTTCAATACATTCAGTGATGAACTTACATGAATTTAATATCCTGTTCATCATATACCAACAATAAATACCGTTTGAAGTGAAAAAGAACCATTTTTCTTTTGATTCTTAGTGTAACGCTAACAATTTGTGCATCTTAATGCTATGTTTTTTTTAACACAAATGATGTCACGTCAAAATATATGCACGGCCGTGCAATACCATTATTTACGGAGTCACAAAAACGGCCCGGATATATGATAACTTCTTATATGTAACTTTTTTTAAGTACCAACTCTTTAAAAATAAATAACAATAATAATAAGAATAATATTTTTATTTGGTAGTAACATAAAGTTAACAGAGAACGTATGAAATAATCCATGTCAATCATTATTATAGCACAAAGTGTAAAATACAAGAGAATGTGCATGAAATATTACATACCGTAAACTTTCTCACTCAGTGAGGACAAACACTCATTCATAACACAACTTCTTCTCCAACAAAATTTTATATAGCACTTTAATGTCCTACAATAAATAACATCAGTAAATAATATTCTAAATGAGTTTTATAGAATTTGTCATAGTTGTAGAAAACTCACGAGGGACTACAGAGTAACCCTTGTAGAGTGGTCCCCCTGTTAAGCCACAACCTCTTAACAAAAGTATCAATTATAAATTAAGACTTCCTTAATAAATTTAAACTCTCACCAACAATTACATAACATCGGTGCCGAGCTTTTATTGTTTTTTCATTAGTTTACTCTCTCAATATTGCATTATAAAAAATATTTTTGTTGGCTTAACCAAACTACATTTCTATACACTAGAAAATAGATGGTACTTACTTTTATATAGATTTAAACATCTTTAAAATGAAATTAAAGTCTTGAATCATAAATACACATTGCCCCCCATTAAATATTATTTCACTTTTCTTTACAAGTTCTTTACTTTATAAACCACTGTACATTTTTTCCACATAAACTATCAACTGAAACACATGCATTCCACACAAAAAATCAAAACATTCATGCACAATTTTCAAAACAAACAATTTAAGTGTCTGACTAAACACATGACAAGCAATCAATGCTTTGTTCTTCAATCACTTTATTTCATAGAAATAAGTTCAATTCACTGGAATAGAAACTTTCAATAAAGTTTCACAATCAAAGCCAGTCTATAACGGAAAGTTTTCAGCTAGTTTCCGGAGCAGAGATCTACATGAAACTGTACCAGAAAATAATAAAGACTAAAAACTATCTATTTCCCTCAGCTAATAGTACTACAACGTTTTTAGCTGTGTGTTTGTTTTTTTACTAAATCAAAGAATATCATTACTCTGAAAGAATAAACAAAGACAAACAGTTCTATAGAAACTTTATAAACTGTCATATATGATTTTTTCATCCGCCCAGAACATATTTACTGTATTTCTGTAAAGTGTACCTGTAAAGTTTGTATAACCTCGATGATTTATGCTTTTGTATTTAATAATACATGTACTTAAGAAAACAACATTGAAGAAATACTTAATTTCCTATTGTGGGATTTCCAAAATCTCAATATGTTAAGGCAATATTGCCAATAGAGAAAAAGTAGCATTGCCTTATTACCACATAGTTAACACATGTCAGTTTTATTCTCTTCTGTTAATGGTCACAATCATTTCATATACACCAGTTGTTTGTCAAGATGCTATAATACCTTATATTCATGTATAAGATATCCAGATATGATAAGATAAATATAGCAATAAAGTAGTTCTACTCCCAAAGCTTGACTAATAAATATATCATACTCCAGTATAAAATGATATAAAAATGACTTGTTTAGTACACACAACTGTTTGATATTTCCCTCCCCAACTATATATAGAAATATTGTCTTCTTGATAAAAAAACCCCATAATTTATTTATTTAACAACCAAGTTCCATCAGCTAGCTGGATAACTTGCTCACATGAAAGAATCCAAAGTCCCTAATGGGATTCAACACCATGGTGGTAAGGATTAAGTGGTTTGAAGTCAACCACCTCAACCATTTGACCACAGACACAGTTTATAGCTTCAACATCCCGAACCATTTGTGTACCCAACACTGTTACAGCACCAAACTATATTTTTGATTGTTTTTTGTGTGTACTTTTTAATTTTCAGTTAAAGCAAAATGTGATGAAGTAATATAATAAAATTAAAGTACAGTAGTAATATGTTTTTATACGAGTTCTCCTTCATACAAATCAGAACAATAGCACATGATGTATACTGGATTTCTAAATTTTAAATCAATACAAATCATTTCTCTTAAACAATATATACAGGACAAATCTGTCCTCAACTATATGTATTACTCAGATCTAATCCAGAAGTGTAACTACTCTTAACTGTTACAGAAAATATCTCTGTTTTGCATTAAAATGTATGCTATAATGATGGGAGTTCCCTTAAAAATTCAAAATTTACGGTAATAGAAAATAATACAGTGTAATAGAAAAAATGCTATTTCTTTCAAATACCATAATTTTATACATAAAACTGGTAGATTAATACTTGTGTTATTATAATAAATTAACAAATATGATTTTTGAATGAAGAAAGCAGGTAATCATTCCTCTGTCTGACAAATATTTGGAAAGCAAGTATCTTATGCGAGTACATTGTAATGATACACTACATGTCCAATTATTATCAAAGCATTCAGTAAAGTAAAACCAGAGTCACTGAGAAGAAATCAAGTTAATTAACCAAACATACACTATGCTTGACAGTTTTTTTCAAATTCTCTATTCAATCACTTATAAACAAAAACAAATTTTTCTTTTCTTAAAAAAAAAAGAGCCTGGTTTTAAGGATATGGCTATAACAAAACACAGTTTCTGTCTTAATACGGTTAGCAAAACAAATGTATAATCTTGGATTTATCAAATAATATAACATCTGCTAATGTGTACACATCAAAATATAAAATCCAAGGGTCCCTATCACAAGACCGATAAATACAAAATAAATAATAAATGTAAATTTGCACTCCTAATAAATTCCGTATCAATTCACTTCCATTTTGTTTGCCTCGCCATCTCCTTTTTCCGAGTCTAAGCCGTTGATTTCAATGTCCTCAGATGTTGTGGTTGAGGAAGCTGCTGTGGTGTTCTTGATGTTCTTCCAAGTGCCACGTTTCTGATATACCAGTACATATGCAGCCTTTGACTAGAGAAATAAAATAAATTGATTAATGATGAACAATATCACTGCATGATAAATGATGAATAATAATCGATATCATTTTTCCGTTACATGAAATCATGAATCTTAATCGTGACATGTAATACAAGTGCTTTAAATCACAACTTCTGCTAAAAGTTATAGATCAGAGTCTAAAACGTCTGGACTAAATAACAAAATATGTGTATCAATTCTTATTTCTTGTTAGTCTAAGTATTGATTCTTATGCACTATTACTAAATGTTCGCTCCAACATAACTTGATCTCATTCGCAGACAACCAATGCTATTGTTTGTTTGATTGATTGGGTTTTACGTCACAATAACACAGAATAGGTAATAAAGGGACATTCCAGCTTTACTGGTGGAGGAAGACCTCAGGTGCTCTGCTGTGCAACATATCAGGCACAAACAGGCAACTGAGTAGAACCATAAGTTAACCAATAATAAACATCAATATTACAAGTACTATGAAAACTAGAACTATCACTAAATGTGATTAATACCCCCACAAGACTGCTTCGGAAATGAGGATGTTACTAGTAACAGATACCTTGTAAAAGAATTGAAATATAGAGTTATGGTTGTGGCAATTAAAGATAGTTGTGGTTCTTGTATGTTGCATTTCCTTTCAATGTGGTTGGCCATTGATGAAGTTTTATTGAATTACTCTGTAATAAATCCAGAAAGACAAGGAAAAGGAACAAAGGGCAATAACTCTATAAATACTGAAGATGGAGTTATAGTTCTTGTGCACTGCACTTCCTCTTATTGTGCTTCACCATTGTATGAAGTTGTTTTGAATTCCAAACAGTACGTTTTAAGTTACGCTCCAGACAAGGAAAAGTATCAAAGGGCAGTAACTCTGTATTTTGTCAAAATGGAGTTATGGCTCTTGTGCACAGCACTTCCTTTTAATGTCCTTGACAACTGTATGAAGTTGTATTGAATTCCAAACAGTAGTTACAAAGGGCAATAACTCTGTAATTAGTCAAGACGGAGTTATGGTTCTTGTGCACTGCACTTCCTCTCAATGTACTTGACCATTGTATGAAGTTATATTGAATTCCAACCATTAGACTTCAAGTTATGCTCCGGACAAAAAAAGCAATGGAAAAGTAACAAAGGGCAATAACTCTGTAATTAGTCAAGATGGAGTTATGGTTCTTGTGCACTGCACTTCCCTTATTGTGCTTGACCATTGTATGAAGTTATAATGAATTCCAACAAATAGTCTTCAAGTTATGGACCGGACAAAAGAAAGCAATGGAAAAGTAACAAAGGGCAAGTTTGTTATGAATTCCAACCAGTAGTTTTCATGTCATGCTCTGGACAAGGAAAAGTAACAAAGGGCAGTAACTCTGTAATAAGTCAAGATGGAGTTATGGTTCTTGAACAATGCACTTCCTCTCAATGTGCTTGGCCATTGTATGAAGTTATAATGAATTTCAACAAATAGTCTCCAAGTTATGGTCCGGACAAAAGAAAGCAATGGAAAAGTAACAAAGGGCAATAACTCTGTAATTACTTTAGATAGAGTTATGGTTCTAGTGCACTGCATTTCCCCTTATTGTGTTTGACAATTGTATGAAGTTGTTTCTAATTCCAACCAGTAGTTTTCAAGTTATGCCCCGGACAAGGAAAAGTAACAAAGGGCAATAACTCTGTAATTAGTCAAGATAGAGTTATGGTTCTTGTGCACTGCATTTCCTCTCAATGTGCTTGACCATTGTATGTAGTTATATTGAATTCCAACCATTAGTCTTCAAGTTATGCTCCGGACAAGGAAAATGCAACGGACGTCTGGACCGAGGAGGAAGAATACTTCAGATATCTTGTGTTTATAATATAACTTACCACAGTGGCTTCCTCAGAAGACTCGGACACACTTGAATCATCAAAATAGTACCAGGCATTTTCTACAGCATTCTTACAGTATGCAGTATCTGGAACGAAATGTCAGTATACAGAATATATTAATTTATTGATTTGAATTTTGTTCTTTTCAGCATAGGCATTATCACGTACACAATATTTAACTATATCACTTCAGCTACATAATAACCTTTTCTAATTTGATGTTTTAATGTCACATAGTGATCTAGTATGTAGCAGATACCAATATATTTGGTAAGGTAAACATTCAAAATGGTCAAAATAATTGTCAATTCAACAACTTTTTCATAGTTTGTCCCGGACAAATTATGATAAGGAAGTTAGTCAGCATGATGCAACTGTTACAGGGTAAGTAACTGACCTGATATAGGATATAAAGTTCTGTTGAAAAACTATATGGATCGAGACCAAAGGTTTTCAAACTATATATCCCATAATAGATCAGTAACTAGCCCTGTAACAATTATATCACGCTGACTTTGACCCTTATCATACCTAAAACTGTAAGTATTAAGTCAACAGGTTTATACCTCTACAAACTGAGCAACACTATTCTCTAATTTCCTGACCTATATTTAACTTGTAAGCAATGTGATATTACAGATAGTTACTTAATGAACATATTCACACCCCTGAAAAATCAAACAATGGCAACCTAAAAAATTCAATACAAGGCAAGTCCATAGTAAAAAAATGTGGGGGTAAAGATGGAAGAGTTACTTACAATGGCCACCTCCTAGACCACCATAATGGTTGGACACTCCAATAAGGTCATACACATTACTCCGATTTATCTGCTGGAGAATATAACAACAAACTTGCCAAGGTCAATTGCCCCTGAAATATTTAAAATACCATTTATTTCAGATACAAATTTCTAAATTACACAGTTTATTTGATTACCTACAAAGCAATTTGTGCTTACATAGGTTTTCCTAAGCCAGGTTTTCTATTCTGTCTGTACAAAAAGGTTCTTTCCATATAAATAAGTAGGGAAAATATGATTAAGTGCTGAAGAAAGTTAATTAGAGACAAAAGAGGAAATATATCAGGGAAGTGCTAAATATATATACATTCCGGTAAACCATTGGAACTCCACTGAGGCCCAAGCCGAACAACATAAAATTTGAATTGCTTACATAAAAACATTGGGGCACTTAAAACAGAAAGATTTGCAAAAAGATAAATGAGTGATAAACTCAAAAATATTTGAAAATCATACTTTTGTGCTTAGCAACTCTGATTTGAGTAAAAAAATAATTGCAATGCTTACAATTTTTGGGTCAATTTTTACAATTATCATTATTGTTGTGTAAAAATGGAATGAGCAAATGATCTGAAAATTTGTCTTGACCTTCAGCAAATGGAGCATTAATGCAGGAAAATTTCTTTCCCAGTCCCAACATGCAAAAAAAAACCTCAGTGGAGTACCTTTAATTAACAAGGCAGATTTCTTCCCAGATGTAATTCCTTTCTAAATGATTACAAAAGAAGCAAATTCTTTATTTACAATAATTCATAAAAAATTCACGAAACACCATGACAAATTGAAATTGCCTTTATCTAGATAGTCCAAAATGTAAACTTTACAATGTAAAACAATGATAGGTACAGATAATTGTTTTAGGCTACACAGCTTTCTGTTAAACTTGTTGTTGTTTTTTTTTCGGTCTGAACCACAACACTTGCGTTGCTATTCGCATCA